GGGGACGCTGGCATGTAAGGACGGGCTGAGGAGGAGACTGAGACAAGACCGTGAGAGAGGAAGGAAGAAAACCGAGGGCCTAGTCCTACAAGCAGCAGCCAGCAGAGGCGTGGTCTTGTCTCCAGCTGTGAAGCCCCCCCACCCCACCCACCCCCCAAAGGAGCACAGGCAAGGCCAGGGTTGGGCACAAAGGGACAAGAAATGGCTGGGAGTGAGGAAGTGGCAACAGCCTGTGGAACGCAGCTCTCTGGGAGATTTATTTGAGGGGTGGGGAGGGGAGAGAAGAAAGTGGTCCCCCCATAAAACATGGGGTTTTCAGAGCAGTGACTCTGAGTTTATAATATTGTGGTAGATCTGTGTTGGTATGCATTTGTGCAAACCCTTCAAAGTGACACCACTGGGAGTGAGCACTAATGTGAACTAGGGGCCCCTGGGAATGCAGGGCTTACAAGTCACCACTTGTAAGAAATGCACCACCCTGTGCTGCATGTGGTGACGGGGAGACCATGTGTGTGCTTAGGGGCCGGAGGCATAGGGGAAATTCTCATGCCTTCTGTTGAGTTGTGCTGGGAACCTAAAATTGCTCTTTTAAAAAGCAGTTTTTAAATACTGTTTTCATAAGGGACATATTTAGAGAAGGACATAATTAACACACATATTCTGCTTTCTGAAATGGGGATTAGAGGGGGCTGGCGCTGTGGCACAGTGCATAAAGCCACCTCCTGCAGTGCTGGCATCCCACATGAGTGCCAGTTTTGAGTCCTGGCTGCTCTGCTTCTGGTCCAGCTCCCTGCTAATACACCTGGGAAAGCAGTAGAAGATGCCCAGGTACTGGGCCCCTGCTCCCATATGGGAGACCTGGAAGAAGCTCCTGGCTTCAGATCAGCCCAGCTCTGGCCTTTGTGGCCATTTGGGGATTGAATCAGCAGATGGAAGATCTCTGTCTCTCCTCTCTGACTTTCAAGTCAATCTTAAAAAAATAATAAACGGGAGTTAGAGGAGATGTGGTGTCTGCTTAATTTTGATTCTAAAGGGAGATGCTTGAATCTGATTTGAATGCTGAAGGGAATGAGTGGTGAGAGAGAAGCGGAGGCCGTGGGGGTGAGGGTGGGGGCAAAGTGCAAAGAGCCGCCAGGGTGCGGGTGGCTCTCCCGGTGATGTTGACAGGAGGAGCTGAATGGAGAGACAGAGAAACAGGCAGGGCCTGGGCCCTGGTTGGACAATGACACAGAAGTGTAGGGCTTCGAGCAGCAGGCCAGCAGTTCCAAAAGTGAAGCTGTGAGCTAGGGATTCCTGGCTCGTGGGGGAAACCTCTGCGCCAGCACTGAGCAATGAAACCCTCTGTGACGGGTGTTCTCGCTCGTATGCTGGGCAGCAGCCATGCACGGCTAGTGTAGTTGAGAAACGAAATGGAACACTCGTAATTAATTTAACTTCACAGTCACACGTGAGTATCGGCTGCTTTACTGAGGAGCACGGCTTCAGACCTCCCGCGCGTTACCCCATCTGGGCAGAGCTGGTCCAGAATGAAAGGCGACAATGATTTCATAGGAAGCGGCCACGACCTCGCGAGAGGGAACGTGGTTCCTGCCACAGAGTTTAAGCAGGAAACAAGCTTGTGTCTCTCCGAAGAGAATGTAGGTGGGCACCTAGCCTGGCAGTTTAGAAGCTGGTTGAGATGCCTGCATTCCACGCTGGAGCACCCTGGGTTCCGCACCCAGAGCAAGCTCTGACTCCAGCTTCCTGCTAATGCGCACCATAGGAGGTAGCAGCGATGGCTCGGGCAGCCGAGTCCTTGCTGCATGTAGGAGGCCTGGCTGGAGTCCCAGGTCCTGGCTCCAGCCTGGTGCCGCCATGGCAGTTGCAGGAATTTTAGGAAATGAACCAGCTGTTAGGAGATCTCCATCTCTGTCTCTAACCTAATTGTTCTTTTAAGTGAATGAAGTGTGACGAGAGTATGGGGAATAAAATAAGTGTGTATGTAAATGAACAAACACTCAAAACAGAACCTCTCTATTTCTGAGAAACTTCAATAAGCTGCACATGGCAGAGACCCACAGACAGGCCCCGAGAGGTGGGGGGCCAGTTCCCCAATCTGCACACCTAAACCCTCGGCACCCACATGCACCGCCCGAGGCCTCGGGTCAAGGCCCATCCCCCAGTTCTCAACCACAGCTGCACCGCGGGGTCATCCGGGAGATTTCAAGAACTCCCAGTGCTCAGGCCTCGGCCGAAGCAAATCAAACCTCTGTGTTCGGCCTTGAATAACTCCTTCCCCTCTCGAAAGAGGAAATAACCCAACCCAAACCTCTGCGGGGTGGGACTTAGCCTGCAGGAGTTTCCGAACCTCCCTGGGGGCTGAGAATCTGTGACCCAGTCTGCAAGTCACCGATTTAGTCACAGCATCAGCAGATGGTGTGTGTCATCATTAAGGTGTTGCAGGAGCTAAACTGTTAAGTCAGGAGTAGCAGTTCTTAGCCTGGCCTCCCCGCCTGTCAGCCGGGGTTTCCAGACTGCTCGTGTCCGGGCTCTGCCCCAGAGACCTGCGTTGCTGGGCTTGTGCCGGGCAGGAACCCGCGAGTCTAGCAGAACAGGTAGGAGGCCATGGACTCCTTCCTTCTTTCTTCCCCCTTTTTTACTTTTCTTGTTCACTGAGAGCCCTGTCAGTAGACTCTTACTTTAGCATCTTAGATTTGACTGCTTTAGGATAGCGTGCATCGTGGTAAAATAAAGCAAATGACTGGGAATAAGTAAGTGTGAAAGACAGGGAAAAGAGAGTCACTCCTTTGTACTCTGGTTTACAGGAAGTAGCCTGACCCGGGCTCCAGCTCTGGGTGGCCGAGGCGGCTCTGTCCCCAGCTGGGGCCTCACTCGCCGCTGGCTGGCTGTGCATGGCTTTCCCGGGGACAGGGGCTCTGCAGACAGCCACCCTGACTGATGGGGAGTACCAGATCTGGCTGGAGAAAACCTGCATTGCCAGACTTTAACTGTGCTGGTCTTAGAATTCTATTTATCAGGCCTGCTCTGTGGTGTAGCGGGTAAAGCCGCCTCCTGTAGTGCCAGCATCCCATATGGACACTGATTCAAGTCCTGGCTGCTCCACTTCTGATGTAGCTCCCTGATAATTTGCCTAGAAAAGCAGCAGAAGACAACCCAAGTAGGCCCCTGCACCCACGTTGGAGACCCAGAAGAAGTGACCATTTGGAGAGTGAACAAGCAGATGAAAGCTCTCTCTCTCTGTAACTCTTTCAAATACATAAATATTTTAAAAAGATTCACCTTTATCACAGAACCATTTTTATTATAACAGTATTTTAAAAAATATTTTATTTGAAAGAGTTACAGAGAGAGGTAGAGAGAGGTCTTCCATCTGCTGGTTCATTCTCCAGATGGCCGCAACAGCCAGAGCTGCGCTGATCCAAAGCCAGGAGCTTCCTCTGGGTCTCCCATGCGGGTGCAGGGGCCCAAGGACCCAGGCCATCTTCTACTGCTTTCCCAGGCCACAGTAGAGAACTGGATTGGAAGAGGAGCAGTCGGGATTCGAACCAGTGCCCATATGGGATGCTGGTGCTTTAGGCCAGGGCTCTAATTGTTATGCCCAGTTCAATTGTCCCCAAAGACCACCAAGGAGCCGATACCACTGTAAAGTGCACGAGAGTTTTATTGCAGGTCTGGGCCTGGACTCTCAATCAACACCGATGCAGCGGGTCTGAATTGAGAGCCCCGACCCTTCAGTTAATATGGTTTTTATAGGGTTTTCAGAGACATTCTACACATTATGGTACCATTTAGCAAATCATCTCATCCCGCGGGAAATTCAAAGGACATCTCTCAGAATTGATTAGTGCATCCAGTGGCGGGAACAGACCTAGTAAAGATGGTTGGATGGCTTTGGGGTTGATGCCTTTTAAATTGGTTGGCTGAAGCATAGGGCCTGAGCTGCTGGGGTATACGTGCCGAACCGCAGGGTCTCGGAAGCTATCAATGACCTTAATTGCCCTGAGAAGGCACCAGGATCTCTAGGTATTTGTCTGCTCTCTGCTAATTGGCTGTTGCTAGGAGAGTTTATTGCAAGGGGAGTTCATTTATTTACTTTTAGGAGCTTCTGGCTCAGGGCTCAGGGCCTGGTCAGGCCCAAGTTACAAGATGGAGGCCTAATTTAAAATAGTTGCACCTTGATCCAGGCTCAGGGCTCATATAACCTGCTGCGCCATAGTGCCGGCCCCTATAACAGTATTTTTTAAAGTTATTTTTATTCATTTGGAAGACAGAGCAAGAGAGAAGAACCTTCCATCCCCTGGCTCACTCCTGTATCAGTGTCTTTCTCTCCAAATGCGTGGCACAGCAGACACTGAGCCAGGCCCGAGTCAGGAGTCAGGAACTCCTTTTTGTCTTCCATGTACTTGAGCCGTCACCTGCTACCTTTCAAGTACATTAGCAAGAAGCTGGATCGGAAGCCGAAGTGGGACCTGACCCCAGGCATTCTGATATAAGAAGCAGGCATCCCAAGTGGCGGCTTCACTAACTGTGCTACGATATTGCCCTAAATTTTGTAAAAACTGAATGAATTGGAAACAGAGGGAGAGAGCGCCCATCTGCTGGTTTACGCCCCCTCCTGCCTGTAACCGCTGAGACTGGTTCTGATCAAGCCAGGGCTCAGAGCTCCCGTTTGTCTCCCACCTGGGTAGCAGGGACCCAAGTATTTGAGCCGTCACCTGCTGCCTCCCAGGTGCAATAGCAGGAAGCTGGATTGGAAGTAGAGGCGGGACTTGAGCCAGGCACTTGGAGATGGGCTGTGGGCATCCCAAGTACAGCGCAACCCCCTGCCTGCACCACAGCACCTGCTCCTAACTGAAAGTTTTTGAAGAGAGAAAAATCATCGTAATCCTCCACCACTTGCCACAACCATCTTCGTCCAGTCCACATCAGGATGATTTGGAGCTTGTTAAGGGGAGGGGCCGTGCTGCCCATGGAGAAACAGGTCTCGCTTGTCATTGCAGCCACCTGTATAAGAAGAACCTCGATGTGACCAAAGTCCACAAGGGCAAGCCGCAGCCACTTCTCCGAGTGGATGACCACGACTTCACCATGAGGCCGGCTTTTGGAGGTAGGACTGACATCCGCCCCTCGGTGCCGGGTCGGGACTGGTCCCCCAGGGCTGCACTGTGCTGCCTGGGCTGGTTCTCCAGGTCACGGCCCTTCCTAGGCAGGTGTGGTTTTCCCACCCACAGGCAGAAGAATCCAGCTCTGGTTCTGGAGTCCCTCAGAGTGTCAGGGAGAGGAGAGTGGGCAGGAAGCAGCTGCGGGTGGCTCAGCTGTCTGCCTTCACCAGGGACACCAGCCTGCTGTTACCAAGGTTTTTTTTTTTTTTTTTTTGTGAAAAGGCAGGCAGGCTGGGTAAGTCAGTCATAAAATGGTTCCTCTGCCTGGCTGGCCTGGGACTGGCTGGGGAGTTCTGGTTATAAGGGGCCACGGGCTTTCCCACGCAGCCTAATGCTTTGTAAAGCTCACCTGCACACCTGCCCCAGAGGAGCTTCCCCGCCTGTGGGGTCAGGGAGGGGAGGCATGGCCAGCCACTGTCCTTGCTGTGACCTGGAGAAATGCCACAGGGGCTGGCGGCACAGTCCGGGCTGACATCACAGAATTCCACAAGCTGGGCACCTTAGGCACACAGGCAACTTATTTCTCCTACTTCTAGAGACTGGAAAAAAGCTCAGGTGCTGGGGTGGCCCCTGGCTAGCCTGGATCTGGGTTCTTGTCTCCATGTGAGAAGAATACAAGGAAGAGATGTAAATAAAGTGAGCAGGAAAGCAAGACTGACTTAAAGCAAAGCCATACTCTGGAAAAATGACAAGCCCTGGAAAGAATGAGCTGCAAACAAGGGGCAGGGCCATCCTTTTATACCATCTGGAGGCCGGCGCCGTGGCTCACTAGGCTAATCCTCCGCCTAGCGGCTCCGGCACACCGGGTTCTAGTCCCGGTTGGGGCGCTGGATTCTGTCCCGGTTGCCCCTCTTCCAGGCCAGCTCTCTGCTGTGGCCAGAGAGTACAGTGGAGGATGGCCCAGGTGCTTGGGCCCTGCACCCCATGGGAGACCAGGAAAAGCATCTGGCTCCTGGCTCCTGCCATTGGATCAGTGCGGTGCGCCGGCCGCGGTGACCATTGGAGGGTGAACCAACGGCAAAGGAAGACCTTTCTCTCTGTCTCTCTCTCTCACTGTCCACTCTGCCTGTCAAAAAATAAAAAAAATAAATTAAAAAAAATAAAAATATACCATCTGGAGGCACAGGGCGTGGTATCCGGGTGGAGCTTAATTGAATATACAAAATGGGTGGGGCTTGAGGAGAGCCCTTTTTGGAAACCTCAGGAGTTTCAAGGCGTCGAGTTGCATGATGGGAGTGGGTGTTTTAGCCATGGTAATTTTATTGCAGTGACTTACCAGGCATCATAGGGACGCATCCGGCAGCCCTGTTGTGTATCTTCAGCAGCTGAGGTCTGCACGGAAGGGGGTGGAGTTTTGGTGGTGCGCATGCGGCTGCAGGTGCTGGCAATCTTCAGCTCCTTGTTCTTGCTGCTTCCTTGCTGCCGAGGGCCCAGTTTCTGGTTCATAGATGGCACCTGTCGCTGTGACTTCATGGGGTAGAAGGGGTGCGGGGCCTCGAGGTCTCTTCGAATCCACTCCTCACCTCCCAAAGGCCCCTCACCATCGCGCTGGGGGTGGGGATCTCAGCAAGTGCACTTTCCAGGGACATCAGCCTTCATTCAGAGTGGTGGCTGGAAGCGACGCCAGCTGTCTTCAGACCAGGCAGGGTGTGGAGTAAGAGCAGCAATTGCATTAGCTCCTTGGGCCAACACCCGTCCTGTGCATGTGGGGAAACTGAGGCCCAAAGCGTTTCAGCAGAGGGGCCCCTGGCAGGCTGCCTTCCCATACTCCTTGCTCTCTGCCCTTGATCCTCTCTGTTTCCCCGGGGTGACCTTCAGGCGGGTCACCAGTTCTGTCCGGCCTCCGTTTGCTGGCTGATAAATTGGGGAGAGTAATCCCCTGTGTCTGGGTTGTTGTCCAGATTAGACAAGATAATGTATGTAAAGTCCCTGACACATACTCAGGAAAGCCCAGCTGTCAGGCCTTCCCCTTGTGACTGTTAAGGGATTAAGACATTAATTTATCCCAGATGCCTTTGCATTTGAAAAGGTCTCAAAGCCTCTCACTAAATTCCCTGCTCTCTGACACCTGCTAAGCAGAAGGAGCAAAAGTGGCAGATGACAGCCCTGGGACACGCCTGCTTCCCTCCTGGCTACAGTGCTGAGGGTGACCCCGACTCGGTCAACAGGAGGCTGCCATTCATGCGTCTGGTTCCTTGAGTTTCGCTGGGGCCTCTCCACGGGCAGTTCTGCCGGGAAAGGTCATGTAACAAGGTTTTACTAAATAAGCAGCTTTAACATGGCTGCATCTGCTCCGGGAATCTGCATGAGACGTCCCCATCAGCTGGAAGCTGCCACTGATCTCTCTCGTACAGAGTCAATTAGGAGTGCAGAGATCGGCGAGAGGCGAGGGACACTGACAATAATGAATGAAAGCTGCCACCTTCGTGGTGACGATTCTGTGCCAGCCACCACCCTCTTCAAAGTACCCACAGACTCCCATGTGGCCTTTTTAAAAAAAATAAAGGAGGCTGGAACTCAACCTGGGTCTCCCGTATCGGGGCAGGGCCAACCACTGGAATCACCAGCTGTTGCCTCTTCGGGTCACGTTAACAGGAGGCTGGAATGGGGAGTGTTAGGTTTGGAGTAGCTCGGGGTTCTGGCCTTTCATACCCCCCAAAAGGAGAGATGGAGAAAGGAGACCTAGCCGACAGCAAGAGACAGGTTGCTTCATTGAAGCAAAGAGGTTGGCAACAGTCTCCAAGGAAATTGCACCCAGGGCACACTTAGAACTGAGCTTTTTTATCTGGTTAAGGAGGGAATTTGCCACCGGAGTGTGTAGGGGTGGGGGGAGAAGGCAGCTGGCGGGAGAGTAGGGGGGCTCTTTGGAGCCTCTGGGAACTTTCCTCTTACCTGTTTCACCAGCTGCCCCAAGCAGCGGATCTGTTTGCCAGTTGCTTTGTAAGAAGTCTGGACGGGTCTGCTTGGGCACCAGGGCCTCAGCTAAAGGGAGAAAACAGGATGGGGGTGGGGGGAGAGGGGGAAAGGGCTAGGGAGGGGCAACATGCCCCTTAGGGAGTGAAGCCAGAACCCATGTGGGCACCCAACCCCTGGTCTAACTGGTAGGCCAGATGCCTGCCCCCTGCATAGGATTTTTTTTTAAAGGTTTATTTTACTTATTTGAAAGGCTGGGTTACAGAGAGGCAGAGAGAGAGGTCTTCCATCTGCTGGTTAACTCCCCAGTTGGCCATAATGGCTGGAGCTGCGCCAGTCCAAAGCCAGGAGCTTATTCTGGGTTTCCCATGTGAGTGCAGGGACCCAAGAACTTGGGCCATCTTCTACTGCTTTCCCAGAGCATAGCAGGAAGCTGGATCGGAAGTGGAGTAGCCAGGACTTGAACCGGCACCCATGTGGGATGCCGGCATTGCAGGCAGCAGCTTTACCTGCTATGCCACAGCGCCAGCCCCTCAGAGCTTAACATAATCCTCTCATCAACTCCAAGATGTGGAGCTAGCATTATCTCCAGGTGAGGAAAGAGGCACAGGAAGGTGGGACTGGCCCAGGTCACACAGCTGCTGAGGCTGGATGCTCGCTACCCCCGGGTTTCTTCCCTATCCTCTCCCTTTTTGTCCCTCAGCAGGGAGCTGAAATATCCCTCAGGCAGAGCTGGCACACTACCTAGGGCCCCAGCACTTTTAGGGCCCTCCCCAAATGTTTTATTTTAGAATCAGAAGGAAAAAAGAAATTTTAGATAGAAGAGATTGTTCTCATAGACACTAACAATTATCTTCACTCCAATCAACTTATAAAATATGCTTTCTAATTTTTTATTTTTTTAATGGAGGAAGAGGCCCACAGAGACAAAAGTGCCCACAGAGGCAAAAGTGCCCACAGGGCAAAAAGTGTCCAGTGCGGGGCAGCTGTGTGTCTGGGTGTGGGTGATGCTGTTGTATCTTTCTGTGGGAGGGTGCTGAGCCAGGAGCCTGCACAAAAGCTGGATCAACACCCCTGGTTTATAGAAGAGCCTGGGGCCTGGGGTTCAGTGACAGCCACAGAACAGCTTGGGGAAGGACTAAAGTTTCTCCTTCGGCATCAGTCATACATATGCGCTTTGGGAGCGAGCAGGAGCTGGCTGTCGGGAAGGGCAGGTGATGCCCTGTCGTGTCCCCAGAAGGCCCGGTGGTCAGCAGAATTGTGCAGCATGCTATGGCCCCAGCCAGGTGGCCTTTTCCTCAAGCCACGCTCAAAGAGCAATATGCAGGTGGCAGCTTCACTCGCTAAGCCGGCATCCCTTATGGATGCCAGTTCGAGTCTCGGCTGCTCCACTTCCGATCCAGCTCTCTGCTGTGGCCTGGGAAAGCAGTAGAAGATGGCCCAAGTGCTTGGGCCCCTGCACCTGCATGGGAGACCCGGAAGAAGCTCCTGGCTTCGGATCGGCCCAGCTCCGGCCCTTGCAGCCATCTGGGGAGTGAACCAGTGGATGGAAGACACCCCTTTCTCTGCCTCTGCCTCTCTGTAACTCTACCTTTCAAATAAATAAATCTTAAAAAAAAAAAAAAAAAGAGCGTGTGCACTTCTTGTGCCACAGCCAGTACAGGGCAGACCCTGCCCCCGCCCGGGAAGCTTCTGAGCCTGAACAAGGTCCCTGGTTTGGGGGAAGCTGCAGGGAAGGAACAGGGGTCAGGTGCCTTCCACTAAGCAACGAGTGCAAGTGCGGCTGCTCCTCCTGGCTTCCCGCCTTCTCCCCTCCTCCCCCCTCCCCCATATCCCCCCCCAGGGGGAGGCCCTCAGGGCACCTTTAATTCCCCGAAGAGCTTTCCAGGACGGCCAGATGTCCCTGGGATGAAACCGGGGGAGGGGAGCATGTAGTGAGGCTCCATGAGCCCCAAATAAGAAGCTTTACAACACCCCGAGTCTCAGCCAAGCAGGCGAGATGGGGCTGTCACAGGAGGGGACATCCCACCGG